GAAAGATGGGTTCAATAACGTATACTGCACTGAAACAGATGAGGGAGAAAACTGTTTAAAAGGGATATGTGATTAGGTATTTTTGTCACCACAGGAGTCTAGAGGGATGGCTACATGGTGGAGTGGACCTGGGGGAGGGTTTGTAAAACAATGAAAGAATTTTTCTTTTACTTTTCCAAGAGGGTAGTGTTCTCAGGGGGAGCCTTGGGACGGGAGAAATGTGCAACAATGAATGAATGGAAATCCAAACCTCTGTAAATTTTTACTGAAATTAATAATACATTTAAATTTTTAAAAATTTAAGTTAGAGTAAGGAAGGTAATGAAATTATAACTGCTCATGCTAATAACACTATATCTTGGCATGGAGGAGGAATAGTGAAACTGTATCAACATTTACAATATTCTTCTTACCAAAACCATTTATGGAAAATAAGAACTGCATTGGAACGTTTATCTCTGGATTGAAAATGATCATATTGTTAATATTTCTAGCCTTAAAACATTATCCTGTTCAAAATTATTGGTTATATATTTGTTTAAATTTTTCCCTCTTTTAACAACTGGGATCTAGAGGGAAGAGAAAAGAACAGAGAAATAAAAATGACATTGTTTTTATAAAATTAATAAAGCTAAGATTATGTTTACAGAAATGTTTCTAAAGTTTTAATCCATCTCATAGTTAGACAACTTCCCTTAAATTATTCAGAGGAAGAATATATCTCAAAGAAATATTATCAGAATGAAATAAAATAATATATGTAAATTTAGAAACAGAGTCTAGATCTGACAAGCACTTCGTTACTACTGCTCCATGATAGAAATTTCTTTGTCTTTTGCGAGAAAACACATGTAAAATGAATATTAAGAATATCATTGTTTGAGAGATTAATCTTTGCAAAATTACACCAACACTTGATGTGGTAAATGCTATAAATCTAAAAATGGAATTTTAAAAAATTGTTGTAAAAACGTTTATCAGAGAAAGAACTTTATAGTTAGTATATAGAAAAAAGTCAAACACAATTACTGAATTGAGAAAAAATAGTGAAATAATAAGTCATAGGTTGTTTTGGTAATATAAGAAATTATGTATTTCATTGAGGAAAGATAACAAAATTGGAACATTTAAATTAATGATGTTGGATTTTGGAGATAATTGAAGGCCATTTATAATGAGATCAGTGGCTATCATAGATCACAGACAAGAGATTATTTTACTGAGAAGTCTTCCCAGGGCCCCCTTCACATCCTTGTTCCTTAAACTGTAGATGAAAGGATTCAGCATGGGTGTGACCACAGAGTACATCACCGAGGCAACAGAGCTCCTCTGGGAAGAATGGGTCACAGCTGAACTGAGGTAAACTCCGAGGCATGTCCCATAGAACAGGGAAACTACTGAGAGGTGGGACCCACATGTGGAAAATGCCTTGTACTTGCCTCCAGTAGAGGATATTCTCATCAAGGAGGAAACAATCTGAGAGTAAGAATAGACAATCCCAGAGAAGGGAAACACACCCAATAATGCTGTAGCCACATACAAGCAGATGTTATTGATGAGGGTATCTGAACAGGCAACCTTTAGAATTTGAGTCAGTTCACAGAAGAAATGAGGAATTTCAGTTCCTACACAAAAGGTCAGTTGTGTCAGGAGTACAATATGAAGCAAAGCGACCCAAAGAACGACCATCCAAGACACCAGAATCAACAAACCACATAGTCTGGGGTTCATGATAACTGTATAATGTAAGGGGTGACAGATGGCCACAAACCGATCATAAGCCATTATAGACAGAAGTAAATTGTCCAGACCTGCAAAAATCATAAAGAAATACACCTGAATGAGGCATCCTGTGTAGGAGATGTCTTTGCTCTGTGTGTGGATATTTA